GCCGATGTGAAACTAGAGTCTGTAGGGATGGGAACATAAAACTGACCGGCAGCTTCCCGATCTTGGGAGAGGTAGCTCTGCCTTGCGACAGCCAGTCCTGGGGTTTGTTTGTGGAGCTGTTCTTATAGTTCGGCCCACAAACTGTATATATACCTCCCCTAACATTTTGTTGAGGTCTCTATATGGCTTAATAAAGTCATTTTCTTCTTATCAGAGTATTTTTTTTTTTTTTTTTTTTTAGTCACAACTGAGAACAGTGACTGGCACGTTGCCCCTAAAACCCCACGTTCTATTCCTCATGTACCTGGATGGGTGTCAGTGGTTACTTGGAACCTTTTGGAAATCCACAGCTTGGTCAGTGACTTCACCTGTAGCAAGATTTCCCCCACCCCCAGGCACTTATAACAACAGTGATAAAACAAAGCATTAAAAATTAAATTGGTTATTAGTAGGAAATAGAGAAGGCTAATTAGTATTTCAAAGTTGGGTTAAACTATATGAGCCATGCGAAAATTTGATGAGCAAAATGATTGAGAGACTAGGAAGAAAGGACAGCGGAGCCATGAAATTGTGAGAGGAAAAGCCTGCTAAGGAAGCAGCTTTGACTAATTTCTGATTTCTATCACTGGGTGGAGTAAGGCCCACTTTTACAGTTCTTGACTTTACTATTATCACTTTTTCAATGAGATTCCATATTTTATCTTTACCTTGAACTATCTTGAATGAGTCTCAGAAAAGTAATCAATTATAAGAATCTATACTAAAACAAACCACTGTAGAAAACAGTTGGGGTAGGGGGCTATCTCCCAACTTTCCTTTCTTTTCCTTTCCTTCCCTCCCTCCCTCCCTTCCTTCCTTCCTTCCTTCCTTCCTTCCTTCCTTCCTTCCTTCCTTCCTTCCTTCTTTCCTTCCTTCCCCCTTCTCTCTCTCCCCTTCCCTTTTCTTCCTTCCCCTTTTAACTCTATCTACTCACTAATTTAATATAGACTATGTTTTAATTTTAATCTAATTCAAGTATTTCCAACTATGTACTCCTTTAAAAAGTCCTGAACATTATCAAACCCACACATTTCATTGAGGACCTTCAAACTAATCAGAGAAGCCTGTCCCAATGCTTAATTTACCCAATATTCCAATACCTATTATCAGCATTTGAACCTTTCTAATATCTAGGGCCACTGTAGACACACTTATTTTATCCTAGGGGAAACAATGGACAAAATTAAAGAAAATTAGGAATGATAATGGAGAGAGGGTGTTTTAAAAGTGCAAAGTCAAAGAGAATTCTAAGCTTTGGAGTCCATAAGAATTTCTATATCACATGATGATGCAGTTATGGAAGTCAGAGAAGGAAAGCTAAGCTTTTTGTTTGTCTCTTTGTTTTATTTTCTAATGCAACTTTTTATAGTTGTTGTAACCATACAATATTCAAATACAAAAATGCAAAATAAGTAACCGAATGTAGAAAATGGATTCCATAAGAGACATCAGAATTAGAGACAGATTAGGAAAGTACTAGAAAAATGGTGTTAGAGCTACTGTAAATCAATTTCTGCATTGTGAGAAATCTTGTATTCTGCAAATGTGTACATTAAAATATAGAATGTATGAGAAAAATGTGATTGGGGAAGACCACTTACTGTGTAACTTAGTAATCATAGTATTAACAAACTAATGACAATAGTAATAAAAATACAACCACCATTTAATATTTTCTAGCATTTATCCCCCAAAAATTATAGTTAATCCTTTTTAGTCTTACACTTAGGATTTACTGTTTCCTCTTTTGAGATGTAAATCCTAAAGGAAACTGACTTCTAATATAGTACATTACCAGAATTAAATTCTGATGCATATTTTTCACTAATCTCTTATTTTAATACAGGGGGGAATGCCTTAGAGTCTTCTACATTCATGGTTTAGTCAGATATCTTGTTGCAATAAAAAGCATTTAAAAAAATGTTTTGAAGGCACTAAACCATCACTACATGCACTAAAGAGAGGCCCTTTTGTATATTTTCTTATGACAAAAACTTCTCTAAAATTTGACAAGGCTTTCCCCTGATTACTTCCCCTTTAATGTGTTGAGAAAAAAATACATTTAAACCAATGCAATTATTGAAAACTTACTGATATCATTCTAGTATTTATTAATTGCTAATAAGGTGATTTGATACAGAGAACTATACACTGTGGCAGAATAGATTTGACTTGAATGTTCCATGAGAGTATAAGCAGAAAGCAGTACCAAGATCTGAAACTTGGAGACCACCTACATCTCAATAAAGCTTCCGTGAGTAAAAGCAATCCAAGACACATGTTAAATGTGATGTCCATGTGTAGAGATACTTGTAAAGACAGATAAAATAAAGGAGCTGGAAATACTCTGATTAACTCATAGCTACTCTCTTTCCAGTCTCACTCTTCATTTTCTCTGTAAAATAGAGCCCCACTATTTCTTTTTCTCTCGCATTCTCACTTTGCCCTCTGTATTCTCCAAATATTATTCCCCAGTGTTTTTCCCAGTTATTAACACAGTCTTTGAAACATGGGCTGCCATGTATTCCAATTCCAGGTGTAACTGTCTGGATGGAAAAATCAAAATGGTTTCTGCCCTACACAGCATTTGCCTAAAAATAAAGTCTAAATATTTTGCCCCTCCAAGAGATGTCTTAAATCTTAAAAACTAAATCTCTTAAGTGTTAATATAAAAGTGCCTTTTAAGATACCTGCCTTCATACATGAAAAAAAATGCTGATCATTGTTTAATAACTTTTCAAAAGTCCCTTCTTCTACTGGGACTTCTCAAATATCCTCATTTGGAAGAAATCATTCAGGAGACTTCAAGCTTCTCCCAGAAATCTCTTTATTATCTGTATGGTCTCTTTCACCTCTTTGTATTTTGTTTAATCAGTTTATATATTTTTTTTTCTTACTCTTAAAACAAAAAAACCTTTCAGGAAGTGTCCATATACTTTTACTGTGCTGAGTATGGGTCAGTTACTTTGTACAGTTTCCACATAATGATCATCTGTCAAAATAATGAACCTGAAACTTCAAGGAATTAATACAAAGGAGTCAAATTAAAAATATTTACTTGATAATATACGCTCAGTATTAGGTTTTGTTAGAGAAGCCAAAAACTTCCTGGTTACCAATGGTTGTCTTGCAGATTTTCAATATGATGAAAGTGAATCGCAGCAAATTTAATTACAAAACTTACATTTGGCAGATATTACTTCTGAAGAGTTGTACTGCTTTTAAAATTATTCTAGCCTATATACTTAGAAAATTAGTATTAAACTTTAAAGGTATCCCCTGGGAGTAAATAAAACATTTTGTTAGTTCTCATATGTATCTATTATGAATAATTAATAGCTTGATTTTAAAAGGGCTTCCTTCTTAGTTGAAAACTAATTTTTTAAAAAATTATCACAGATTAAAAGTTAACTGATAATACATAAAGAGATACAGATTAGTCCATAACCTTCTCATTATTGTACAACCAGCTTTATGTTGTCGTGTGTGTGTCTGCATGCACGTGTATATGTGTTTGTGTACGGGTGTGTGTGTGCATGTCCAAATATACTGTCTTTTCTATTTTAATACTAGCTTTAACATTTTATTTATTTATTTATTTATAATTTTAATTTTTTAATTTATTGGGGGAGGTAATTAGGTTTATTCATTCATTCATTTATTTTTAGGGGAGGTACTGGGGATTGAACCCAGGACCTCATGCATGCTAAGCATGTGGTCTACCACTTAAGCTATATCCTCCCCCTTTAACATTTTCTTTAAACATTTCTTTTGTCTTAAATTGTTCATGGAAAGTTGCTGAATTGAATAATCTGGCGCTCTCACTGAGCCTCAGTAAACAAGAAATTATTTAGTAGTACATTCAGTATTTTGGTAACTCTGGTTTGCTGACATTTTCTACCATAAACAGTAAATCTAAGATTTAGGCTTCAGGGAAAACATTAAGTCCACCTCATTAGACTTTCTTAAGAAGACTTAGAACAAAAATCATTAGCTGTAAATGAAAATACAATAGAATCAAATAAAAGCCATTTAAAACTTTTCATGTTTTACTTTCTTCTATATATTTTTCGCACACCTGATAAACCATTTTAATGTCATACTCAGAGCACAAATGCTGACTCTCTATACCAAGGAATTTGCAAAGTCTAGTTTTTAATCTGGAAATCAAGGTGGAAACAATTTTGGAATAATGTAGCTCATCTGTTTCTGTAATGTCTCAAAAAATTGAAGGGAGGAAGGAAAAAAGGAAGGAAGGAAGGAAAGAAGGAAGCAGAGGAAAGAGCCAAGTAAGGCTAAAGTAACTGATTTGAGATTCAAAATCAACCTAGTGGGATTGATCAAGGAAGATGTATCATTAATAGTCCTAAGTAAGTAATTGCATTCAAGAAAAAAAAAATAAAAAGGTCAAAACAAATGTGATGGAGAAATTTTTGGAAAATAAAGTAGCTGTATAATAAGACAAAATATCAGAAAAGGAAAAAGCATAAAGCATTTTATAGGGTCCTTACATTTTAAAGGCTGTAAGGAAAGTGGTTACAGTTTATTTATTTATGTTAAATCTACATTACTCTAAGATTATTTCACATAAATTTTTCATTCTAGATTGGCATTTCCTAGCATGAAGTCCATTTCTAACTAGCTTTCTTCTTCAGTGCCTGTGATGTCATTTTGTAGACAAATGTATTCATGAAATAAAAATACAATTTTAATATTGCCCAAGCAAAATATAATTAGAAGGGAAAATTAACTGGAGATGTATGAACTAATAACATTATCAAATATATGTTAAAGTAGGGGTTATCTGTTTTGAAATTTTTAGCCCTACAGTTCCTTTCCTTTAGTACATAGCTAAAGGCCAAATGTGCATGCAATCAATACTCCAAAGATTACGGTAAATCAGTATGTGTGTTTGTGTATATTCTTTGACTTATTTAAGATTTTCCTGAAATAAGTCTTACCTCATTCTGGAGATCTCGGATCATTTTGGTCTTTCTTTCCATTTCAGTCTTTAAAAAAGCAATCTGAAAATAAAGAGAATACTATGTAGACACATTTCAAATTCATTTCTATAGGTTTTGTAAATTTATTTTCATGATTTTTGATTTTCCACAATTATGTCATTTTTCAACAAATACTAAAAACCAAAGGATTACAATTTTCACTCACCAAATTTTTATTGCTCAATTCATACATATATCCCCTAATTATATAAAAATTCCCTTTTCTCATATAATAAAAGATAATTTTTTTAAATTGAGAAATGCACATTATGACCATGATTCTCTTACCTATCTAAATCTCAATTTTAAAAAATGTAGCTCTTAAGCAAACAAACAAATAAAAACCCCTCGATTCTAGGGTTGGGCCTAGGAATCTTTTTTCTTAATACATTCTCCAGGTAATTTTGATGTACCACAGGTTTGCGAGTAATTGCAATGTGAAGCTCCTAACCTCAAAATCATGGAGCATTAAAGATACTGTACCAAAGACACCATGATGTTTCCTCCCGTATATGATATTGTTGGAATCAGTAAATTTAGGCCAGTTATTCAAACTGCATTTGTATATACATAGCATTTTTATCTGCCTGACTACATTGAAAAAAGTCAGTTACAGCATAGTAGCTAAAATTTGAGAATTTATGGTCACTGAAGGTTCACTATGATGTGAATGTATGATTGTGGCTGAAACATTTAATTTCTCCAATTTTCAATTTTCTGCTAGTCAGTTTAAAAAAATAAAAGGAACAGACAAAATTAATTTTACTAATATATTTCATTTAACTCAATATATGCAAATAATCATTTGACCTGTAATCGATTATTGATTTTATAAACAACATAACTTTAAAATGCACTGTGTGTTTTATACTTACAGCACATCTCAGTTTGGACTAGTCATTTTATAATGCTCAACAGCCTCATGTATCTAGTGTTATATATTGGACAACATAGTCTTAGAAGATTCCTGGAATGATACAAAAGGGACTGGTATTTTGGATTATCTCTAGAGATAAGAGAGTCAGTGGAAGTCAAGTTTAGGAGTAAAGTTAATTTTTACCATATATACAGATTAAAAAAAATAGTTCTGAAACTTTTCAAACATAAACAAAAGAACAAGAGTAATACTATGTAAAATGCTTCTGGGTCCATCCTATGAATAAATATATGTAAATGACTTGTCCAATTTTCTTCAGACCTTGTAAAAAAATGTTATACATTCTATTAAAGTCCCATCTAATTTTCCTTCCTTCCCTCTCCCCAGAGGAAACCACTATCTTGGATGTGATGTGTGTTTGTCTTGTGTATTTTTTGTACATTTTATTTGTTGTGCATTCTGTAGAATGTTACAACACATGTTAATACCTCATCTTTTCTGGCTTGTATTACCATTTTCTCAGATGGCAATGAAACCTAAACCAAACAATTAAGAAGATTTTTTTTTAATTTTGGGGGGAGTTTAGGTTTTATTTACTTATTTAATTTTACCTATTTATTTATTTTTTTATTGTTGAGGGGAAGTAATTATGTTTGTTTGTTTGTTTGTTTATTCATTTAATGGAGGTACTAGGGATTAAATCCAGAATCTTGTGCATGATAGGCATGCACTCCACTGCTGAGCTATACCCTTCCTGCTCCAATTTTTAATGGTCAAACTACATATAAAAAGAAGCAGAAGCCTGAGAATGGCCATGTCCATCTTTTTGGCCATAACAATTTTCAAGTTTGAACTATGAAGATACTGACAGCAACCTGAAAATGTGAGTCACCTCATTGTTCCATTAGGGAAATAGTTTGATTTGATTGATAAAACAAAGGTATCACTAGAATGGCCTGATCCCATTCAAAATTAGATATGTATGCAGAGCAGTAATATATGTCCCAAGAAATAGCCTTTACACCCATTTCTACTGTTTTGTGCTGGTGTCAGCCTACTGTCAACCAGTGTTGTGGCTGGACAAGCCTCTCTGGTTCCAAGATGCCCTCATCAATAACCATCAGGAAAGTTTGAAAAAAAAATAAAGGTTTATGACTTATAGGTCCAGGAAACTACATGGTATGCCTGGAGCCATACAGGGAGGTGGTAGGGGTTGGGAGGTAGACAGAGAGAAAGAGAATGGGCACAGCAGTGGTTCTGCTTTTACTGGGGTCGAGCCTGGGGGTCTAGGGTTTCAGGGCTCATTCTTTACTGGTGGGTTTAAAACATAAGACTGAATATTTAAAGTGAAAATGAGAGAGGAAAAAAAAAACTAAACAAAACAAAAATGGTCAGTAATCAAAATTAAATTAACCAAGACCTCTAAAACAAAAGAGACCGGGTTGGGGGCAGAGTGGGGAGGTGGCACTGGTTCCAGGCTGGGTCAGTGGTTGGCTGCGTGTTAACTGGAGATAGTCCTCTTTGAAATGGATGCCTCTTTGAAGGGGCTACCCCTGCAATCAAATCCTAAATTAGGCACTTGCATTACAAAAAGAAAAGCAAACAGTGAGGGCTTACACTATGTCTTACCCAGTACTTAATGAGCACCAGAAAATTTTAATGTTACAGCTTTGTCTTTAGTTTAGATCAGGAACTATTTGAAGCCGTTTTGGTTATATTAATAATCTGTCTTTTGCTGATACCATTATTTTCCCCTAATCCTCACCTTTTATAGTATTTATTATGTGTTCTCCATAATTAACACCTAACTCTAACAGTGCAATGAAAACATATTGCAATGTCAACAACATACTTATATAAATGTTAAACAAGGACAGAAAAAAACTTGAGAATGCAATATTCAAGTATTTAGAACCTAAAATGCATACAGAATATTCAACAGAGCATTTTGGAAACACTGGTTCTAGAAACCTAACAGATTTTAACAGCCCTGGGAAAATAAGAATTCCTAGAAGATATTTAAATAGTTCTCAGAGACAGAAAATACCGTTTATTTACTTTGAACAAAAAATGGACTAACACAATTCTTTATCTTTAATGAGAGTCAAAGCTTGAAGTTAATTCTTGCCTTCAGACTAATTATGTCTCACTTAGGGCAAGTTAAGCCATAAAAATTAACTAGTGTAGTGAAATGCATCCAAGGAGTATTAATATCTTGAGTTATTCTGGTTACACCTGAGAGCTCATTTTTCCTTGCTGTCTGTTAGATTGTTCATGAGGAACATAAGTCTGAAAGGTTTGTCACTCCATTATTTGCATAGAGATATAAACAAATGCTCACAAAAAGTATTTTCAAACAGAACTAGATCAAGACAGCTTGCCTGCTTTTTCAGTTTAATGTTCAAAAGTTAACCTTCTTTTATAGTTTTGTGCTTTAGAAGCACTATCACCTTTAAGTTTTATAGCATTTTACTATGGACTTACCAAATAATATGGGTATTTTCAACTTACTTTCATAAAATATACAATCCTTTTTATGGAAAAAGTCACAATAATTAGATACGTTATCAACACAGCACATCAGATTATCTGTTGTTAAATCTAAAAGAGCACAACAATATTTACAGAATCAAATCCAAATGTGTTGCTTCTATTTGACAGTGAGCAATTATAATGATCTTACTCTCCCCTTCTTATCCAACTTTCAACCACACCAACTATAGTCTTCCTAGCAGAAAGAATAATTACTGAATTATTTGCAACAATTAAAATATATATTAATTTAATCCTTAGAATCTTCAAATAGGGAGAAAAAGCACAAACTGAGTCTTTATTAAAGTTGGAAAGTGATGAGTTCCATAAAATGAAATCTGTCTTCTAAATTCCACCAGATGCAGATTTAAGAAAATAATATCATAGTTTTAATAAATATATATTATTTCCCTATTTGTTAACCTTTCTGTCATCTCTTTCTGGTTTGACTTAGAACATCAGTCATTCAATTCAAACCATAAAACAAATTTCCTCCAAAAGATAAGTATTATTTAATTCTGCAGATGTTTGCATTCACTGATCATGATGATATATTTTATTAACATAGTTTTGAATTTGTTTTCATAGAATTTTAACATCTATATTCATTACTAGAAAAATAGCTATTAGTTTACACATACAGTCATTAATTGACTTTGGAATAATAAGCGATGATGTTCATAAAATAAGATGAAAGTGTTCAATCTTTTTCTATTTTCCAGAAAATATTTGCCTATATTAGAAATTAATTGATCTTTGAAAATTAATAGAAATCACCATTAAAACCTTCTGGCTTTGGAATACTTGGGAAAGAAGGTCTTCTAAACATAATAAAATTCTAACAGTATTTTTTATTCAAGTACTAAGTTTCTTTTTGTAGAAATTTTGGCATTCTGTATTTATCTAGGAATTTACAGGCACATTTTCAAATATATCTGTGAATAGTTGCTCATAATACCTTATTTGTTTGAATTCCTGGTATGATTATGGTTATTTGCTCTTTTTTAATTAACATTTTAAAATTTGAATCTGTGTTTTTATTCTTAATCTTTCTCAAAGTCTATTTTCTAGCAAATTAATTAAACCCAAGGTGGGGGTCATTGGACCTCCAATCTACAGCTGGTCAGTCAGAAGCACAGGTGACAACCTGGACTTGAGACTGTTGTCTGAAGTGGGGACAGGGGTGTCTTGTAGGACTTTGATACAATTTTGTGATGGCTTAAAATTGATTACACACTCTGCTCAGTACTTTGCATGTATCAGCTCACACAGTCACCAAAATGTTAGATAAGTAGCACTGACATACTTTTTATAATAAAACATCCTCAGAAATATAAAATAACTTTCTTATCTTTCCTCAGCTAAGAAGTGAAGGAGATGAAATTAGAAAGGGAAGGGAAGTAGAATGACATTAGTTTAGTGTCTACTATCTATTGTATGCCAGATATAATTTAATGTTATTTTAACTTGAATCATACTCAAAATGTGCAGGTAAGAAAACCTGTAGAAGTTAAAGAGCTTGCTCAAATTTGCAGAGCTAGTAGGTGGCCCACTAGGAAATTAAATCCAGAATGTTCTTAACTCTGAAGCACATGTTAGGCTATGAACCCATTTAGGGAGTTTCTGGTTTAGGAGAGCATTTTGGGGTGAGAGACGAAAATCTCTCCTCAAGATTCAATGTTGAACCTTAAGAGAAGCACCGCAAGGATTCTGCAATGAGGGTAAGGCTGACTTGGTCAGTCCTGTCTCCTTCTTCCCAACTATATGTTGTCTCCACTTTTCCCATACTTGCTATTCTAACTTTTGCTGAGCTCTTTCAAATAGTCTAGCTTTCTTCTTTTGGGATGTTTGCATAACATATTGGAATAATCACAGGTTCATGCCTTGGCTCCTCCAAATATTAGATGTACCAATACAAGCAAGAGTTATTCATTTTCAGGAAAAAAAACCCCACAATACTGGATAGTTTCATTGTGAGGATCTGAGAAAATAGCACGAATGAACACTTTTGCTCTAACTGCCATCATTTGGGACTGGGCCATAAAGAAACTGAGATTAAATGTGATAGATCAAGACAGAATTGAGATTGCAATTAGGGTCACTGAGTAGGCTGAGTCAGGTTTTAAGGGGAGAAATCAACAAGTTGGTGCTAAAAAGTATGTCTATTTTTTAATGTAACATCTGATATCCAAAGAGCCAGACATTAGGACACACTGTAGGTGAGCAGTGAGAGTTGCCATGGCATGGAAGAGAAGAACAAAGATGCTCATCCTTACAGGTGGGCTGAAAAGATAACGGTGATTCATTAACAAGAAGCAATCCTGCATCCAGGAAAGTCAACAGTCATTATTACAAAGACTCTCTAGGAAGCAGGTATCCCAGATGACAGATAGGGCTAAGTTTCAGAAGCAGAACTACACCCTAGTCCAGACTGTCCAAGGAAGCCTTGCAAAAAGGAAGGCAGGCTGACAGTTTTTAAGGGGGCTGGGATCCCAAGTAATCAACCAGGGCCAGGTACCAGACAAACAGTCTCTATGTCCCAGAGCCTGCTGAAATCATTCGAACTGGCCAATCCAAGGTCCGCTTACCCTGCCTAGCCCCTTCCTTCCCCGCAGAAACCACAACAGAAGCATTTGCCGACAGCTTCCCCACCTTCTTTGACTCGTGACTGACCTGGTGCTTCCCTGGGTGGCCCCCTGTCACGTGGCAGGCCACTTCTCTTGAGGACTGTGAGAAATAAACTATCTTTCCAAAGGTGGTTGTTTCCTAATCTATTGGTCTTACTCTACCTCCACTTTTCTATTAATATACTACATTTTAAAATAGACTCAGGTCCTCCAACAAGATAAAAGGTCTAATCTCCATAAATAGTACATAAAGTGGGTCTGGGGAACCAGGCAGAAATCTAGTTTTCAGGTACTACTATCCAAAGTACCATCTCTCCTGCCGATGGTGAATATTAGTTATAAGAACTGAAATGTGAGAACCCAGAGAACATGAATTTGAGAGAGAAAATCTGCAGAGAAGTTTGATTCTTCAACTTTTGGTATCAGAATCACCTGTGGAGTTGATTAAACAGGCAGATGGTGTGGCCCCACCCTTGAGAGATTTCTATGCAGTGGATGTGAGGTGTGGTTTAGGAACCTGCAGAGCTTAACTTAGTTCAAGGTCAGCTCCACTCCAAAATTCAAGAGCCACTGATATGGGGCCTGACACCACTCTTGCCCTCAGTTTTTCAGCCATAAATAACAGTTGGGAATTAGGAGAACTTTAAGAGTCAAACGCAAAAACTGGGACACAAGGATGGTTCAACATATGCAAATCAATCAGTGTGATCCAGCACATCAACAAAAGAAAGGACAAAAATCACATGATCATCTCAGTTGGTGCAGAAAAAGCATTTTATAAAATCCAATACCCATTTATGATAAAAAAAAAAACTCTTACCCAAGTGGTTATAGAGGGAACATATCTCAACAAAATGAAAGCTGTTTATGATGAACCCACAGCAGCACAACACTCAATGGTGAAAAACTGAAAGCCTCCCCAGCAAGATGTGGAAGAAGGCAGGGGAGCTCACTCGCACCACTTCTAGTCAACACAGTTTTAGGTTTAAAGACTTAAATGTAAGACAAGACACGATAAACCTTCTAGAAGAAAACATAAGCAAAACATTCTCTGACATAAATCTTAGCAGTGTTCTCCTAGGGCAGTCTACCCAGGCAATAGAAATAAAAGCCAAAATAAACAAATGGGACCTAATGAAACTTTTGCACAGCAAAGGAAACCATAAGTAAAATAAAATGACAACCTAGAGAATGGGAGAAAATATTTGCAAATGATGCAGCTGACAAAGGTTTAATTTCCAGAATACATAAACAACTCATACAACATAACAACCACCACAACAACAAAACAACCCAATCCACAAATGGAAAGAAGACCTAAACAAGCAATTCTCCAAGGAAGACAGACAAATGGCCAACAGGCACGTGAACAAAGTGCTCAATATTGCTAGTTATTAGAGAAATGCAAACCACAATAGGAATGAGGTATCACCTCACACCAGTCAGAATGGCCATCAATCAAAAATCCTCAAATGACAAATGCTGAAGAGGGTGTGGAGAAAAGGGAACCCTCCTACTCTGCTGGTGGGAATGTAGTTTGGTGCAGTCATTATGGAAAACAGTATGGAGATTCCTCAAAAAACTAAAAATAGACTTACCATATGACCCAGCTATCCCACTTCTGGGTATATATCCAGAGGGAACTCTAATTCAAAAAGATACATGCATCCCAATGTTCACAGCAGCACTATACACAATAGCCAAGACATGGAAGCAACCTAAATGTCCATCAACAGATGACTGGATAAAGAAGAGGTGGTATATTTATACAATGGAATACTACTCCACTATAAAAAGAAGAGTGCCATTTGCAGCAACAATAGATGAAACTGGAGATTGTCATTCTAAGTGAAGTAAGCCAGAAAGAGAAAGAAAAATACCATATGCTATCACTAATGTGGAATATAAAAATAAAGGGGGGGGATACTAATGAACTCATCTACAAAACAGAAACACACTCACAGACATAGTAAATAATCTTGTGGTTACTGAGGGAAAGGGAGTGGGAAGGGATAAATTTGGGAGTTTGAGATTGGCAAATATTAGCCATTATATATAAAAACAGATTAAAAAATGTCTTCTGTATAGCCAGGGAACTATATTCAGTATCTTGTAATAACCTTTAATCAAAAAGAATATGAAAACAAATACATGCATCTATATGCATGACTGAGACATTGGGCTATATACCAGGAATTGATACACTGTAACTGGCTATACTTCAATAATAAAAATAAAGAATCAAACACAACAAAAATATATTTTTTGAGTGAATGCTGACCAAGTATTTTTATAATCTTGGTTACTGTGTTTTATTAGTTTCATCTTTATTTGTCACAGGTGTGTTTTGTTCCATAGTGATTTTGAAGGAAAAAAGTTAACAATTCTCCTACCCCAAAGCAAAGGGCACAAAAAAGAAACACACTTACAGTAGCCTGTTGTTTTTCTGCTTTCTCAGATGTCTCTTTAAGCTGATTTTCCAGGGCCTCCTGGAGAGACTTCATTTGTTCTCTTGTTTAATAGAAAATAAAGAGCAAAAGAAAGACATAATATAATTCTGTTATTTCCTATGTATACCATGAAAGGAAGTTTTGCTATTTATATACATTTAGGAAATAGATAACTAGAATGCATAGAGACACAGTTAAGCATGCAAGATGTAGCTCTCAGGATTCTGGTAATAAACAGTTTTCTCTCCCATGCAAGCTCTAAAAGCAAGTTGTGTTTAAAGGAAATTGCCTTGCTATTGTGTCTTATAAGAATCTCACTGTGAGAATCATCTCTGAGCTGCATAATGCATTAAATCAAATCAATATAATAATTAGAGTTGGAAAGCTAATGTTAGTGACAGCATGCCAGGGTGTGAACATGCTGTTTTAAAAAGAAATTTACCATAGACTTGCTGATAGGAGAAAATTATCATTCCCTTGGATGTTCCTAATAGACTAGTTCCAAAGCATTGTGTTCTAGACATCCTGTATAAGGCTTGAGACTTTTTGTAAAAAACAAAGAGAAAAAAAGACTTATTTACTGGGGATAATAAAAGAAATCACGTCTGTGTGTATATACACATGTGTCTCAAGCTCACTGGGACATATGGGCCCTGTCTCACTTATTAAAAATATAACTCTTTTCATAAATATGCATTCCTCTGAAAGGTTTAGGATTTGCTCAACTATGGCAAATTTCATTATCTTTCTGTGCCTTCACTTTATCACCTAAGCTATCACTTCAAAAAGTTCAGACATCAGATAACAGGGTATGAGTGAGTGTGTATGTTAAGTATGACTAGAGAAATGAACTCCTTCAAAACAACAGCAAAAATCAAACAGAAACCTTTTCTAGTTTTACCAGCACACAAACTAATTTAAAATTTCCATGTAGTGCCAAAAGACAATTTCCGGAACAAAAATATTTTCTTGGTGTGTAATCACAATAGAGAGACTAGGGGATGGGAGAGTGTACTCTTAGACTTATTTTCTTTATCTATAAAATGGGCACAATGATAGAACTTTCCTCATATGTTTGTATGAGGTTTAGAAGATACAATGTAGGCAAAATGCTCAGCAGATGCCTGGAAAATAATCATTTAATACAGATGAGACCATTATCACAACTCTTAGGCACCACTCAGGGTCCTTATGTTCATCGTTTGGCCACCACATCTTGCACAACCACAAGCTGCTCTTTCATCCAAAAGGACTTAATGATGCTCCCAGAGGTCTTACCATAGAAACCTTTAGGTCTCAGTTTCAATTTCAGGAATACCCATAAGAGTCTATATGATTCTTGGAGTCAATTTCAATTTTGTTTTCAAAGCAAAGTATATAAAAGGAACACGTTATAAAATAATTACAGTCACTTTGCTTCTTAGATGCTTTATACTTGTTAGGGTAAAACATTAACCTGCTTTTGTTTAAAGTGAATTTTAAGTCTCAGCTTCCATTACCGCCTCAAACAGGTTTCACTTATCAGAACTGTTTGATATATGATACTTAAAATCTGGACTTCCATAATTGCTTTTGATATTTTCCACAAAGGACATTTATAGCACGATATAGTGTAATATAATATAATATAATGTAAGTCTGTGTATATTGTAGACTTGCAGTTTACCAAGCACTCTATACACTTCACAATGAACTACAATGTTGATTTGCAGACAGGAAACTGATGCACAGAGAGGTGGTGGAATTGTGTTCTGGAGCCTACGTGCTCAAATTCTACAGCCATTACACTAGCTCTATTCAAAGAGAGAGACAGAAAGGAAGGATCTGCATACTATCCCTAACACTCAAATCTTCAACAAGTACTGAATAAAAATGCAGTCAGATTATTTTATTTCCCAACTAAAAAAAATTATGATAAATCTTATAACAATTAATATTTCTGGATTTAAAATTTTTTATTTTTAAAGTGATACAGATATTTTAAAATTAAATTATAAAATGTATTTTATAAACATTTAAATGAGTATGTGTGTGCATATATATATATTCAAAAAATATATATATATAAAATATATATTCAAAAATGCCCACATACTGACATCTATAGGCAATAAGGAGTAAGACAAAAAGTAAACTGCAAAGGCTGTTCAAAACTGGAGAAGGCAGAGGATTCTGCACATTTTCATGGCAGGGAAAGCTATCAGACATAATGGCGAAGTGGGCCTTTTGAAACTTCTGAATCTCTCCATCTCCTCTTCCGCCTTTCAGGCTTATTTCTGCACATGCTCACTGATCTCATGCTTTAGGTGGCCCCAGACTCCTGTAGACTTGTTAAGTTCCACTCCATTGAGAAAGGACCACTGACTTGCTCATGGACCGGCTCCCTCCACCAACTGCGATTTGCACAAACTATTGAGAGCTGCTCTAGGGCCCTATTTGGCACTGAACTGAAGCTTGAATTCTGAAGAACTCTTGGCCCCAGTGACATTGTGATAGGTTCTCAGATGCTGAGTCCATTTCAGCACAGAAGTTCACGGTTACAGGGGATTTTAAAAGGCAGCTGTTTCACACATCTTCCATCCCAAATTATATATATGAAAATACCTCACCCAAATCCCCCTACAGGGAGTTATCTTTCTGAGTGGTTACCAGCTTGTATTGTCATAACATCACAGGTAAAGAACTTGCTGTCATCCCAGGCATTCTGTTCATTTTCAGAGAACTCGATATGGTAAAATCCATTAGTGCCCGGAGCCCAAAACAGCATCTCCACCCACCAACCACTGTTGAGAATAAAATGTCTCATTCCTTTTTATTATCAACACAGCTTTTCAGAAACGTCAAGGTACTCTATCCCAAGAGTCTCCATTTGTGGTTACATACTCTCACTCTTCACATAATGTGGCTTAGAGGACTCTTTTACGAATATTATCTCAGCTGTCTAAATATTTCTGAAAATTTAGCAATCAAGAATCAACACAGATTTCTCTCTCATGCAAAAGCATGTGTGCACATGCACACACACACACTCACACACACTCACGCACACTCCTTTCTCTGTATCCCTTGGTGAAACACTCTGCTCTCTCTACCTGGTTATTTATGGCCACCCCATATGTTCTGAGTTACTTATTTACAGTCTAGTTCCAGCTAGACAGAGAGATTTATTAGTTGCCTCTTGGTTACAGTTCCAAGAGGGACATTCTAATTGATTCAGTTCTATTTTGGTGGCCAACTGTGAGCTAATTAACTGTGGCCAGTGATTTCAGAGTCACATAAAAGAAGCATGATTTCTAGGGACCACTTCTCCAGGTAAGTGCCAGGTGGCAAGGATCCCAGGGGACAAGGGGTTACTGAGAACTAGGTGTATAGCTAAGTGACATCTGCAATACATTATACTCTTTCAGACTCTGATAATACTTCTAAATTTGCAGTCAGTTAATAATTTTCTTTTATATTCTAATGTGATTTTTTTCTCTTTTACTGTTTATTAATCTCTCTTATTTTGGAAATGAGATACACAGCCTCCTTCACATTCAGATAACCAAGATTTTCATATATCTGTAAGTAAATGGCAAAAACTAATATATCACATGTCATATCCTTTTGAGAATTCACCTATCGTTCAGATTTATTAAATTTTCCATTCTGACTGTAGTTGTGTACATTATACAAGTCATGCATTTTAAACACATTTTATAATTTTGGATAGAATTTTGAAATCTCAATACTAAAATATCTGCTCCATCTAACTCATGCATTGAAAGACTCAGTTCATCATCTAGTCATTCGTACACCTTACCAAATGGATAGATGATGACCTGAAATTCTTAGTAACTCTAACCACATTTTTCCTGGTTTGCCTGGGTAATTCATGTGTCATGTAAAAACAGCCATAGATAATTTAAGAAAACATCAGCAAACAAAAGAATTAGGCTTTTCCTTAACCACATCGTGCCTCAGTCTGTCTCTTCATCTGGGTTTCTCCTGCAGTGAAGAAAGGCTGACTTCATTGCTCTTTCCTCATTGATGAGATCTCTCTGTCCTCTAGGTCATCTTTCCTCAACCTGGTCTATGTCTCCTTCCTACCTTGAACAATGTTGTCAGAACAACTGCTCTAAAGCACTTCTTTAAATACATGATTCCCTTATAGAGCTACCTAAAATGGGTTCTCTGCTGCTTATGCTGAAGTCCACTCTGGGCCAGCCTTTAAGAGTGGTCCCAGTCTACGCACACAACTTTATTTTCTGATCTACCCTGACTCACCCTGTCTTCTTCAGTCACTGCAACCCTCTCACTGGTGTTACACATGTCATTTCCCTTTTTATGTTTTTGTTTCTACCCTTTCCCAACATGGAAGAATCAACGAAAGCAATGATTTTCGACGACTTTTGGTCTGTTTAGACTAGCTGTTTCTATTGAAAATGTCTATAATTCTCCAACACTAACTCAGTGAACCACAGATACTCGTGTGATATTGAACATAGGTGTTTTTAAGAGGTGGCTTATTTCAAACCAATAAAATAATTTAAAATGATGCACTTTGGGAAACATGCTTAGACGTATATTTTATATGAGCTCCTTTGAATATCGGACTTTGGAGAGAATTTCATGTTCTAGAAATAGTAATTTTATTTAAATAATATAAAGAGTCAATATAAGATACTTGAGTTGATATTTTTAACATGTCATTGACTCAATGACATACGATTTCTGGGTCAAGGTGCAAGGACAGTGGAGAAGATACAAGATGGTGAGAAGGGACTACATAGTGTAGCACCTGTCAACCTTTGTAACAGCTTCTTGCATGGATCGGTATACTAACTTGAAGGGGTATAGCTAAAGGTAAGACACAGCAGAGCAAATTCCAATTAACACAAATCTCAGGAATTCACGTAAGCATTTTGAGCAACAATTTCCTCTTTACTAAATGGGGATAAAAATCTCTATCAGGTAATTGTGTTGAAACAAGAAATTCATATATATATATATGTATATATACATATATATAAATATATAGCATCTTGCAGAGCCTCTAGTAAATGTATAAAAAAATAACAAATGTTAGCTTGTTTCTACCTTAAAAATGCCTTGGCATTTTTTTTCTTTGAGAAACAATTTCAAGTCATATAGCTTTTTAATATTGCATAGAAATCAAGCCCCTAATTCAGTTCCTTCAAAAACAAGCCAACACTAATAACACTGCTCTAATTCTACCACATTGTTAATAAGATTACCCCATCCCTTGCCATCCCCACCATTATCAAACTATTTGATAACTATTAAAGTTATCAAGTTTTGATAACTATTAAAAATAGAACCCTGAGGTCAATGTTATTGGATCTCCCTATTGATGGGACAGACTTATGTTGGTCCATCTTACCAAGATAATAGAGAAAAGAACTCCAGATCCTTAACAGTTAAATTGAGATCTACAGACAAGTATCAGCATCATTCATCACCAGGAAACTTGTTAGAAATGCAGTATGTCAAGTGCTACCCTACATTTATTGTATAAGAATCTGCATTTGAACAAGATTCTCATATATTCAAGTTTAAGTAAGAATATAAATAAATAAATAAATAAATAAATAAATAAATAAATAGAGAAGAAACCTAGTCTTGTGAAGTCTCTGAATAGAGTAACTATGAGGGGAAGAAAAGAGCTGAGAAAATAAAAGGAAAACACAGTCTTACCTTTGTTTCTGACTTATTTCCAGAAGCCTCTGAACTTCAGTTTTGGCAGATTTCTCATCATTTTTCAAAGTCTGATAAGAAAAGTGGGAAAAGGAAGCCTTATTTGGGTCATAAATTGAGGTTCACTCTACTTTTGTGTCTTTGGAATAAGGTGTGGCTGCACTTAGCCCTGAAATAAGAATGTGCAAATGAGGCCAGAGTGGTCCCCATGGCTCTCAGGATGCACACAGGCTCTCAGGAGGCACAATTTATGACACTAACTAGTCCCAGTGCTGCACAGTGAGTGAAAGGGAATCAACTGAGTTTCAGCCGTTAGAGG